AAGACCTAAGCAAGTTGTGAGTCTTCCTTAGCTCTTGGTTACATGGGGAAAGGCCTGTGGCAGCCTTTCTTCATAATTTTTTATCTTTAGGTACCTTCCCCTTTATGACCATGATAATCACTTTTTCCTTCACCTTTCTCTCTCTATAACACAAATTCAACTTTAACAATATATTCAAATATAGTTACTGGGTCTAATGTTTGTCTTAACACAACCTTTGCAAAATTTTTTATTTTTTTCTTCTCTATCTAAACATTAATGCTACGTTATATTCCTATACTTTTCTATACTCTTTTCAAATCTACTCAAAAACCAAAATCAGTTTTACCCTATCTAAAGATCTACACTCTACAAATGACCAATAAAATTTCTCTACCCTTAACAATAACACCAAACCTGTTCAAACTCATTTATAACCAGTCTTCTTTTAACAAAAAATTCTCACACTCAACAACAATACCAATTACAACAATATAACAATATTGATAACAAAAATGATCTGATAACTTATCGGATTGGAAGAGCATGTGACCTGTGCTCTGTGCAAGTTCCGATAATCTTTACTTTACATGCATCCAAACAACAAAACAAGCAATTGGAGCAGGCTCCAGTTACCCAACCCACTTATACCTCAATTACAACACTCTTTTACCAACCATATGACTTTTTATTATCTCAACAGTGAAGTTGCAACCCATAAGCAGCAATGTTACTGTTAAAGAAAAAAGGCAGCCAAAGCCTAACCAAAGTGAGTAAAAGTATAATACTTTTATTGCGAGTGGAAGTGAGATACCAGGGAGTTGCACCCTGAAATATGGCAACTTAAGCCAGTGCTCCTCTACTGCTGCTGGAGTCGCACCCAGCTATCAAAAAGGAAGCGGTAACCTAAGTAGACATATTTGATTTGTGCCCTGTGGGAGGAATTGTTGGTTCAAAGATAATACACTCCTAAATCCTAAACACATCACCATTATAACTTTCTACTCTCTATAAATCATTAACTATATCTCTTATTTATAACTAAGCAGCATATAGTCCATCCTAGAAGCTATCAATATTCTTCTTCTAAATCAAACTTCTATCACTCTTTTTTACAATTGGCGATCTTGCCTGAAATGTTTTTTTTATTTTTTATTTTTTCGTAGCAGATAGTTTCTCGGGTTTTTCTTTCTAAGTTTTTTCCAAAGATATATCTGCTCATGGTGGCAGATCAATATGTATTATTATATACTTCATACTTTATTAATTTTGTATATAATATATTATATTTATTATGTATAATTAATAAAGCCTTGAGAAAGACCTCACTTAGCATTTAAAAAAAATATATATATTTAATAAATAAAAAAACTCTTTTCCATTTCTCTCACTTTTTGAAAAACTTCTTTTTTAGAAAATTTTAACAAGACAAGTTTTTGGGTTTCTTGTCAAGTTCTTTTTTTTAAAGAAACTTTTTTTCTTCCTTTATCACTATTGAAAACAAAAATTCTTTTTTAGTGAATACTACTAGCTATCCCCTTTTTGCTACAATCTAAGAGATTTAGGTTGAATAATACTAGATATTACATGTGAAAGGTCAAATCTTAGACTTATTGGATGAAAAACTAGTTTTTCTTTCTTTAAAATAAAAAGTTATCTCTGTCAAAACTGATATAATAAACTTATTACATCTTAAGTCTTATTATATATGAGCCAATTTTAAGAGTTTGATTGGAAAGACTCAAGCTGCATAAGGATGGAACTCTTGACTGGATTTATCAAGATTGAACACCTTGATAATAAAGATTGTATTAAAAAAGGCTTTTGATTTGACTTTTTTTTTGCTCACATATGTGGGTACAAAAAAAAAAACTGAAATCAGTTTACATCCTCCAAAAGATCGACAGATCTTTTTTCACCAATCACATTTCATAAAAATTATATTATTAATCATTACTATCACAACAATAATAACAACAAATAATAACAACAACAATAACAATTTGTCACATATTAATAATCTATTTATAACTTTGAAGAGATTAGCAATGTAAACACTAACATATAGCACCATAATAACTTTTAAATAGAATATTGTATGTGTAGAAATTGTGTCCTGCTTGGCATTTTTGCCCCTAAATTTGGCAGCTTAAGCCAACTGATTTCTTTGGAGTATCTATTAGAAGATTTTGGAGTCACATTCTACTTGACCTTAAGGTTCTTAGATTTGGTAGTTAGTATTAACCAAAGACTACAGTTTCAAAGCATTTACTAAAAAGTACATATTCATATTTAATCTTCTTTGAATTCATAGCTGCATAAGCCAAAGTTGTGATGTGAAAAGTTATTTATTAATTATTAATATGTATCAAATTAATTTTTCTCTTTTTTTTCTTCTATTAATTTTCCTAAATAGAAATCTTAGCTACTCAGCACCATTTTTGATATATAATAGTTTTAATATTTGTTTTACTTACTTCTTAAATTGTTATACATATGTTGACTTTTTTTAGACCTATTAGCTTATTAAGTTATATAAGAGATATTGTTGCTTTGTGTATATAAAGTTTAAATAATTTTACTGTAAATAAAGTGATAAAGTTTTCCTATGTTAAAAATTAAATAAATAATTATATATTTTATTTTAACATATGTTCTCATATATTATTGCTTAATACTGAAATTAATTATACTGTTTTCTAACAATAGATAGCAACTATTGTTATAAATTGCAATTTATTAATCTAATAAAAAATAATTTATATTAAATGTTGTTTTATATTAAATATTAACTATTTTTTTTTTTAATATATATTAATATATAGCAACACTATCAATATACATGTATATTGCTTAATTATAATCAATTACTAGCAATTATAGGTTGACTATTAATAAATAACTTTTTAAAAAATTTCCTGATATCCTTGGCCAACCCAAAGCCTTAACTTAAATCCTATATAAAATATTTGGTCATATATTAAGGTTAGGATCTGTTGACATAAAATGCAACCTTTAAATATTGTGAAATTAGAAAAATGAATTAAAAAGAAATGGAATATTATACCTACAAGCTATTATAGAAATTTAATTAAATTGATGCCACACCAAGTTCAGGCCATTATTACCACAGAGAATAATTATAAAGAATATTAAAATTTTTATATAAATATATAAATATCTGAATAAATAAATAAATAAATAGATAATAAATGAATCATTCTATAAATTAAAAAAAAAAACTGTCCAATACTTCTTTCACCCCCCTGTACAAAAAAATCAAGAAAGTAGAACCAATCTTAAAAATGCTGTAGTTATAGATATGTTGCAAATGAATTTCTTGATGGTAATAAATAATCATAACCCGATCCATATTTTTTCCGGATATAATCAAGTTCTGTAATAAAAGATTATACGGTAATTATCGGTATTTTTTTAAAGTCAATAATTACTTGTTATTTTTAAAAAAACTTTTATGAATGCGAAATAAATAATCACAGTAAATTAAACTTTATTTATCAGTAATAAAAAAGATATCATAATATAAAATAAATTTCGATTAAACTTTAACAATAATGGACTATGAATTATATAATGGTGACTAAGACTAATTAAAAATTAGGAATAAATAAATAAAATATCGAATTCTATCTGGTAACACCTCGATAATGTACATTTTCACTTTTACAAGATACAGCAATGCCGCCTATGTAACAGTCCCAATATATTGCAATCCAAATATCAAATCCAGTTCCAATTGGAGGTGTTGGTAAATCAAACTGCCATAGGGATGTGAATTCCGAACTTATATTTTCGCAACTGCTACATTGACAACCATTAACCCATATAGGCCTTTTAAGAAACCTATATCCACCGCCTTTATTATCAATATGCATGTAAAAGTGACCTAATGCACTTGTTCCCTCTGTCCCTTGACCATAATAAGGAGATTGAACCGTCATATTAAGTAGAGAATTTGGTAACAAATTGGCATCTACAACCTGGGCACCACATTCTAAAAAAAATGATTATATTTTTTTATCAGGAAGAATTATTATCGCCATGATTAGAAAATTAACTTACTGTAATTTGAACGATCATCACAGCCGCCACCTGAAGGATGACAACCACCATGAGTGTTTTTAATATGCATAATAAAAACGAATACAAGTAAGATGAAGGTGTATTTTTTATTCATGTCGAATTATGATTTAATAATTATATTAAAATGGTTGTATTTATATATTTCTTCTCAAAATATCATTTCTTATAAAGGAATAACGTTCTTACATAGATCATAAATAAATATTGCATACAGAGTATATCTTTACACGACAAAAAAGTAATTCGCGTGTTTTATTGAAACTAGGTGAATGGAAACCATTTAAAGTCCGAAGGACTATTGTTAACACATGCAACAACATCCCATATTTATACGTTCCTTGCTTCCCCCTTCATCCTCTTTCATTTAAGTAAATCAGTAAATACAAGATCGTATAGTTTCCCGCACTCATCACACTACCATAACTATCGATCGCTATCATACCAAAGATTTTTATCGTGATGCGAAAATATACCATGGAATCGTGACCCAAAAATATAACTCTAGGACATTAATTGCATTAACTGTAAATGAGTTATACTGTATAATAAAAAACTCAGTTAAATTAATATTTTTATCACGTGATCATAAGGTACACACACACATCCGGATCACTATTGCTGTGACATTAGAGTGTCCTTCGGACAATTAAGTGACATTTTCATGATAGTCCTTTGTACAGTATTATTTTTCACATGCATCGATAAACATTAAATTATGCGGACCATGCAAATCGCTTATTTAGATAATATAGCGATACGTAATTGCATACACTGCGGTAGATAGTATGAAGAATCTTCACGATTGTCTTATTGGTGTCTCAGGATTCAATCGCATTGTTTCTATATATTTTGGGCCATTGAATGGCAGCCTTGTTTGGTTTGCAAACAATGAATTATAGATCCGCATGCGATGTTTCGATGTGGTCATTCTTTCACATTAAATGCTGTCATGCAACTTCAATTCACCCTGAATGGTGTCCAGAGTGTCTATACCACAATATGGAACAGCTCGAACGGCTTGGCTTTAAATATATGCATAGAGAAGAAAAATTGTTAACTTTTATATCTGAGGTGACAACCGAAGAATAAAAGTTGATAACAATTCGCCAGAAATACTCTCTCCAGATAATTATAGTTTCTATGCTAGTTATGTCAAAAAATTGACAAAACCAATTCCGAGACCATTTATTGGTTTGGGAATTTGGTTTAACGTTAACCATTCGTCTCAATGAATTAATAAATAGAGAATGATCAGAAAGAGTAAATGATGAGATTCATAGACATTTATTTAAATTCTGGGACGTTATTAATTATGCATAAAATATTTTGTACAGTGAGTGGACAAAGGTTTAGTTAGAAGTGATTAACACGAGATTTTTTTTCTGAATTTAAATTGTAATTGCTTACCGAATAGAGATAAATTAAACAGTTTATTTAGAAAGCTAGGATTTCAACTTTGAATAATTAAAAATAATGTCTTCACAACGTCGCCAATTAACAAATTTCGAACGTGGAGAAATTATTGATCTTTTTAAAAAATATGATAAGAATTGTTTTTTACTAACTATAAAATCAAATATTGGAGTAATGGTATGGGAATGTTTTATAAGAAATGTGCTTGGGCTGTTAATTGAAGTTTTGAATATTATTAATAGTCAAAAATATTTAGAAATTCTTGAAAATTATCTTTAATCATTTATATCAAATTTATCAACTATGCTTTTATATATTTTTCAAGATGATAGCACATCTCCACATAGAACAAACAAGATATTAAAATAGAAAGAAGAAAAAGTAATTGAATTATTTTTATGGTCAGCACAAAGTCCAAATTTAAATTTTATTGAACATTAATAGGATATTTTAGAAAAACAAGTTTGTGCAAGACCTAAACAACCTAAAAACAAATCCAAATTAATAATAGCTTTGAAAGAAAAATGGAATTTAATTAAACCAGAATTTTAAATACTTTAGTTAATAATATGTATAAAGGGTTTTAGCAATTAAAATACAAAAAATTATTTTACTAAATATTAATTATATAGATAAATAACTAGCCTTTTTTTATCAAATCAAATAAATATAATTTTATATAAATTTGTTATATATTGTTAACCTATTTAATAAACCTTAAAATTAAATAAATTAATGGTTAACAATAGCAAGGAATTACTTAATTTAGAAAAAATTGTTTTTGATATAAATATCATTTAATTAGCTAATTGATATATTTTTATACTAAAAAAAACTCTTTTTCCACAACATCTCCATCTATAGAAAATTGCTTTTTTAGAAAATTTATTTTTCCAAAAACTTTGTCTAGCAAAATATATTTTTGAAAATAAGTATAAACTGAAGAACTAATTTAAAACAATAAAAGTTTTAAGAATAAAATTGATTTCTAAAGTTTTAACAATAATTCACATTAAGAGATTTAATGATTAATAATAGTATATGACAATAATTTAAAACAAAGAAAATAAACAAAAAAAAAGTTTTTTATATAAAAAATTTTTTTTTTCAATGACTGGCATACACTTTGTTTTATTAGAAAAGTTTACAGTACATGTATATTCCTTTTATGAGAACTGACTACTACCTATCTATGCCTAATGAAACTACCTAGAGAAAGTTCTTATGACTTACCTACCAGTCAGCTTATTGACCTCTATTTTTTCTATATTATCAACACCAGAGTTCTGATAGCATAGGTAGAGTGCTAATGTGTCAGGATGTGCGTCTTCCAGTTCCACCTACTATCCAATGAATAAAAACTCAAAGAACCGTATTCTAATATGATCAGCCGCGAACTAGCCATATCCAACAAGGAGTCTTTGTAGCTCTAACTTGGTCATCTTGAAAAACAGGTTGTTTCTTTTATAGTCTCATGGACTAAAGGGGTGAGGAAGCATGCTCCATGCATAAGAAATGAGAAAGGTACCAAACTTGACAATAATCATCGTAACACTACTGGACGATCATTACACCACTACGCCTTTTTTAGTATCACAATCTTAACGCCCGTTGAATCAACATGTGAACTGGCTTCTTATAGAAAATAGTGCATATTAGGTTATTGGCACCAGATATCATTTTGAAACAGTCCAATTGCCTTTACCAGAAATCAAACTTGGTATCTTGTGATAGCGATCAGAAGATGCCGATCCATTTCTTCCGGTTTGAGGTTTCCACGTTAGCCCTCTGAAAGATTTGAATCATTATCTTGTAATCTGACCTGCGGAGTATTAACCACTGTGCTATAGACCCATAGGTCTTTTTTATATAAAAATTATTTCTATATACAATTAATTAAACATATATTATTTTTTTAACAAAAACATATCTTAAATATTCTCTTCAAAAAATAATATTTTATTTTTTTTGAGTTTTTTTGTTTTCTAATAATATTAATTAATATAAGATTTCTTATAATCTTTTGATTAATTACTAAATTTTACTTATAAATTTATAGCTAAAATTCAAATTAGTTTATTCTTGTCAAAAGATTTATAATATACAAAATATCAATTATACTTTATATTATTTAGTTGTATTAAAATAACATAACAATTTATTAAATTAGGAAAATATGTAATTAATTACCTATATAGGTTTCAGTAATTACAATATATAACAACTTATTAAAACAATATAACAAATATTTGAAATAGGTTACAGTTATCTCATTATTAATACTACAATATAATTATATTATATAATAACAATATATAACTAAATTTATATAATCAAATTTATTAAGTTATATACACTCCTACAGTAAATTATTAGGATTTTCATGTGAGTCGATGAACAATTGTTTTTTTTTTTTTTTAATTTTATTTAATTTTCATTAATTTATGTACAGTTAGCAAAAAAATGAAATAAACTATAATGATCATAATTTATTTTCGTACGATTCAAAACATGATATATTAATATTTCATATTTTTACCTTTAGCCTTAATAATTGCTTTGACATATCGAGGCAAGCTTAAAATTATATGCCATACTGTTTCAATGCTTATTTTTTCT